AATTTCTACAAAAGTTCACTTTGAGGAATGAATGGGAGGTGCTGAAGCATCAGGAGGTCACGTGATGGTGAGGCCAGAGTTTGGACTTTGCAGTCAGATGACTCTGGGTTGAATTCTAGAAATAATGATCACTCTCTTGATAATTAGAAATGATCTCCGCAGACTGGACAGCACATAGAATGGGTAGTACATAGAATGAGTTTAATATATAGCAGCCATAATATTTTTGCTGTCATGTGAGATCTGCAGGGGATTTGGGGGGGAGAAAGCCTTTCTCTGACATCTCAAATTACACCACAGGTAAAAGCTGACTACAGTGACTGGTGAGCTGCTTTGCCCCTTTATCTCAGATTTAGTTCAGTTCTCTTCAGTTGTAAGAGGTACAACTCATTTATTCTTTTCAGAGTTCCTTCACACCTTCATCCCACAACTCTCTAAGAAGGGCTGATTTATTAGTATCACTCCATTTCGCAGCTGAGAAAACGGAGCTCCAAAGAGATATGCTGAGGGCAGAGCTCCTATTTCTACATCTTTCATTTGTTTAGTGAGTACTTTTCATGTATCAGGCCTTGAATAGGCACTGGGGATATAAAGGTGCAAATATTTGGGGGAAATAAATATCTGTTAGTTCCGTGATATGTCATCTGAACTTCTGAGAAGGAAACTGCATTGAGAAATCACGTGGGAGTTTCACAATCTCCGAGAGTCCAGGAAGGTAAGAATGAGGGATGTACTGCACAAAGTCTCAGCTGACAGGCTATGTCTCCAGTTTTAGCTCCAGGTCCAGGTAGCATCTTTGCAATTGACTGTCGGGTCCGCCACCAGCCGCCGAGCCGTACAGCCCTAGCCTTGTTCCTTTCAATGGGTGAGCGAACGGCCCAGGATTCTTCTTTCCCTCTGGTCCCCTTTTGAAGGAGACAGGGGAAGAGAGCTGTGAAGAGGGGTGAGCACACCACCGGCCCCACACCAACCCAGTTAAAGGACACTCAGACACAGTGGGGGTTCTGTCAAGCAGTTCCGATTATTAGCACACAATCATTGGCTTTTAAAGGTAAATGGCAAAGGCAGGTTTTCTACATCCTCCGATCAGCTTAAGGGTAAAGGGCATGCATCCTGTCTCAATACCTAGCTATTGCAATTACGCAGTGTTCCCAAGTGCGGCCAATAAGGGCTAAGGCAAGGTTCCCGCAGACAATCCCACCCTGCTTCCTCCCGGTGCCATCTTAGGCTGCCACGTTAATCCACTTGTAATGTCACTTTAAGGTGGTGTTGGTTTTTTTTTTTTTTTTTTTTAAAGATGACCG